GGATGGTCCCGCTGAGCATGCTACTGATGCAATATCGCAAATCTGGCTCCATTACCATCAAGGTATACCACTAAATGGTGCTTGTGCTGAGCATCAGGCTGGGAGGGCTGTTCCTCATGGAGCTGCGCGCGCAAACGGATTGGGTCCGGAACGGTCAAGCTTGCCAGGAACAGGTTGGCCTCTGCAGAACTGGGCCACAAAGTCCGTTCAACTTCTAACCTAGCTAACCATTTAGAGCGCATCTTACTCTATTCTGCTCTGCAGGGGCAGCCCAATCCGACCGCGTCACGGCCGGCTGGAAGGAAAAAGAAGGTGCAGGCCCAGGGGGATGGTCCCGCTGAGCATGCTACTGATGCAATATCGCAAATCTGGCTCCATTACCATCAAGGTATACCACTAAATGGTCCTTGTGCTGAGCATCAGGTTGGGAGGGCTGTTCCTCATGGAGCTGCCCGCGCAAACGGTTTGGGTCCGAAACCGTCAGGCTCGCCAGGAACAGGTTGGCCTCTGCAGAAGTGGGCCACAAAGTCCGTTCAACTCCTAACCTAGCTAACCATTTAGAGCGCGTCTTACTCTATTCTGCCCTGCAGGGGCAGCCCAATCCGACCGCGTCACGGCCGGCTGGAAGGAAAAAGAAGGTGCAGGCTCAGGGGGATGGTCTCTCCTCCCCCTCCACACCGTCCACCACCTTCCTCCCCTTGGGCAGCGGGTAGCTGACCGGTCAACATGGGTCTGTAGAAGGCCTCAGGCGACTTGAAAATGGAATCTCTCTCTCTCTCTCTCCCGCTGAGCATGCTACTGATGCAATATCGCAAATCTGGCTCCATTACCATCAAGGTATACCACTAAATGGGCGACAATGTTTGACAAGCAGGCTGGGAGGGCTGTTCCTCATGGAGCTGCGCGCGCAAACGGATTGGGTCCGGAACGGTCAAGCTTGCCAGGAACAGGTTGGCCTCTGCAGAACTGGGCCACAAAGTCCCGTTCAACTTTCTTAACCTAGCTTACCCATTAGAGCGCCATCTTACTCTATTCTGCTCTGCAGGGGCAGCCCAATCCGACCGCGTCACGACCGGCTGGAAGGAAAAAGAAGGTGCAGGTCCCAGGGGGATGGTCCCCGCTGAGCATGCTACTGATGCAATATCCGTAAATCTCGCTCCATTACCATCAAGGTATACCACTAAATGGTCCTTGTGCTGAGCATCAGGTTGGGAGGGCTGTTCCTCATGGAGCTGCGCGCGCAAACGGTTTGGGTCCGAAACCGTCAGGCTCGCCAGGAACAGGTTGGCCTCTGCAGAAGTGGGCCACAAAGTCCGTTCAACTCCTAACCTAGCTAACCATTTAGAGCGCGTCTTACTCTATTCTGCCCTGCAGGGGCAGCCCAATCCGACCGCGTCACGGCCGGCTGGAAGGAAAAAGAAGGTGCAGGCTCAGGGGGATGGTCTCTCCTCCCCCTCCACACCCTCCACCACCTTCCTCCCCTTGGGCAGCGGGTAGCTGACCGGTCAACATGGGTCTGTAGAAGGCCTCAGGCGACTTGAAAATGGAATCTCTCTCTCTCTCTCTCCCGCTGAGCATGCTACTGATGCAATATCGCAAATCTGGCTCCATTACCATCAAGGTAT